CGCAACAATGATATTTGTTACAGTGTACTTCGTGCGATTGTATATGTTTTTTTTTTATCATGTCGAGATCGCACTTATATGAATTAACGAGTATCCAAATATATATTTATTTTAATTTTTATGACAACTGTTTCAGCAAAAAGATATACTGAATTTTTTCATCGAAGAAGATAAAAACACGGGAAAAACAATTTTGCTGAAATATCTAAAAAGTTTAGTTAGATATAGATTTGAAAATAATTTTGTTAGACCATGAAAATAAATTTGTAGGAGGAAAATGCACGATGAATGCTGCAAAAAGTTTTAGCAAACCAGTTTGAACGTTCTACGCAATTATTATGATGATCCAACTAAATTATTTTCAGATTTGTATCTAGCTAAAATTTTAGATAATTTAGCAAAACTGTTCTTTCCATGTACTATTTTTAAAACTAAAAAATCACAATAGCGTATTATTTTATTTTATTATAAGAGAAAGATAAAAAATTTTTAGATAATGATTACTTTTGAATTCAGTGGTAAATTTTAAATGATTATAGGAATTATTAAATATTTCTGCAATTTACGTAATTTTATCGATTGGAGCAACAAGTATAATATAATGATAGTAAAAAGGTAATTGTAAATTTGAATTAATCAGTTTCTAATATTAATATACGATTGAATGTTTATCATCGTACATTGTATCGTACGTATAGTTCTTAGGCCATTTTTCTTCTACAATCTGTGTCACAGTATCAGCAAAAATCAGAAACAAAAGTGAACTCAAAGATGTACCAAAAGTTTGTAGATTAATGACATTATTAAAAGTAAAATAGGTCTTTGAACTTTATTACAAACCGATTTATGCATATTATTTCTAAAATTTTTTCCATTTTAACTTTCTTTCTGACAACATCACTTAGAATTTTTTTATTACTTCTGACTTAACTCTTTGAATGACAAATAGATTATGGACATTTCTTTATATAATGATTGACACTTTTATGTTGTTTTCTCTATGTTTAAAACGGACTTGTTAATAATGTATTTATTGTATTTAATTTATCCTTTACATTGTTTTGTCTTAATTTATACATTTCAACTTTAATGTAACCTATCTGTTTCAATTTTAGCTTTTATTTTTTATTAACCTCATATTTATTTATTAATATTTGTATTTATTTCATAAGGTATGATGTCCAAACTATTCTCTTTTTATTTATATTTTCATTTATTTCATTGATTCAACTAATTATGTTAATTTTGTAACGTTTATCACTGCTGCTGAAGACTCTATGCAGTCGGAACGTTCAGTGTTCTTTAAATTTTTCAAATAAATAAAAATCATCTTATTTTAAACAATACACATACATCAATATTACTTGTTAATGACCGTTGAGCTCTCCTAATTGAAAATAATTCCACTTTTTTAAGAAAATTCTTTCTATTTAACAGTTCGAGTAATATTAATGCCTCGACATTTCACTTCGAGGAAAATTTATTCAAGTTGGTCAAAGAATTAATTAAGGTTAATGGTTCTGGAACATCTTATATAATCTGCATCTCGATCGAACATCTCAGGGGGAAAACTCGGAAGTTTCAAATTTCTTCTCCTGTTTCATAATTTAATTTATAGCATAATTTAATATAACTCATTAATGTCATAATAAAGCCGAATGTAATACCTAATAAAATTTCGATCTTAAATCAATATTTTTTAAGAATAATATCGATTTGGCGCTTATTGTTAACTTTGTCTACGAGAACTAGCGAGTGCCAAGAGGAAATATTTTCACGGTGCGTTCTGCGAGCTACCGAAAATAATACGCGACGTAAAGAGTGTGCTATGTCCATTTGTCTCTGACACCATAACACCGTAACGTTTGTCGAGAACAGTCTCGAACACGAGAGATGACAGTGACGGCGACGCCACGAGTCGGTTTCGACATCGATTCTAGGTTGTCGTTTTCCCAAACCACCACACGAAATTTCAATTCAATTCACGAACAACGAATGAGAAAAGTCGTTTCTGAAACCGACCGCGGTTATGACTTGTCAAAGTGAGATTTTGTCACTCGCAATTCTCTTTTGATATAAAAAAAAAAACACACAAAAAGAGTAATATAATAAGAATACATACAATGCATTTCTTTGTGTACCAATCGCATTTGAACAAAAAAATTGCTAAAATACAAGCATTGATGTATTTTATATTCATATAATATATTTATGTAATACATTTCATGTATTAGAGGCATTGTAGATGATTTAAGGTCTCCGAGGAAAAATTAATGGGAAAATATGGCATCCCTGCACAGAGATATCGTCCGGTAATTGCCACAGCTTTCGAAAATTCTCTTAAATATGACAGATGAGAGAACGGCCGAGGAACTCGACATGAATTTCGTAATGGATCCATCATAGTTACAGGGGTGCATTTTCGGCTAATACCGCGTGAAAAATAACAAGAGGCTCTCGCGGAATAAAGGTGGTATTAATGATAAGTGAGGAAGTATCGAGAACGTATCGAGAATTGATAATTCGGACTGCGAGTCACTACGACAGTCACGTACACCGACTGATGGGCATATATACAGGTATATGTATACGCTATACATTGTGGAACCAGTTTGCAATCGGAATCAATACATTGACGAAACGGTTCTCTAATATCCCGCTTTAATGTCTCGTCCGATTTTATCGAGCCCATCGATTGCTTCAAACACAAAATGGGAATTATACATGACAATCCCAGCGTGTTTGGAAAGCCTGATCGAAAGCGTCGCACAAGACAATCCACGAGAAAAAAAAAACAGTAGACCGCTATGGAGAATTCACGAATAAGTGGAAAAGAGTTAGTAAAAATAAAAAAAAATCGATTGATGGAAACGATTGGTTTTCAGCTTTATGATGGAGCCTGGTGGTGTGCTGTTCACAATTCCCGCGCAATCTTAGGAAAATCGCGCGAAGCATCCCGCAGGGAGAAGTCCCATTATCTCTGACATGTCAAAAACTTGGACGAGAAGAGTCGGTGACTTTTTACCGATGCGGTATCGAGAGCCGGAGATTGGATCTGCCGGTGCGCCATGAATATTCACGAGGACGCGGATGTCATTTTATGCAGTTCATTCGACGTTTTGGTGTAAGGTGAACCCAACGGTGGAAAGGTGCGATCATTCTGCTGGTTATTCGTGTACTGACCCTGAATAATTGAGGGTTTCGTTATTATCAGCGCTTGTGATCGACTGTTCGACTCCCGATTGATAGATCACCTCGAATTATGAATTCTTCGAACTCTCAACGGCTAATAAACTCGTCAGTCTCGATGGATTAACACTTCAATGTCAACGTGGACATTTTGTTGAAATGGATCAGATTTCCGCAGATGCGCGCGCTCGTACAGAAAATCCATCAAAATTCGTCGATACCATCGGTCAATTCGAGTACAGCGCTCATTGTGGAATTGGTGGAGAAGAGCGCGTAATATTTCACGTAGCCTACCATCGTTGCAGGACCAAAGGAGCCGTTCGAGAGAGGCTTATTGCGCGGAGCCTCTAAAATATGCATCACCGATGGCGTTTACATGTCGAGATACGTGGTGCGCTATGTAACATGCAGCACGCCTCTACAGGCTAACGCAATGTACTGGTTGCCCGAACGTATCCAAAATTCAAATCACGCGGCACTCTTCCTCGAACGACCCTTCGTAAATGTGGACGTATAAGCCTGTGAGATGTCGAAGGCGCCCATAGACATTGCGATTTTACGAGGGAACGTGGCGACCGCACTGGCGTCTGGCAAGAAACTAGCAAGAAATGCATATGCACCGAATGCATCAACACGTAATAAGACGACATTATCTAAGTGAGAAGTGGATATAACAGCAAAGAATGTCGATTTCGCTTGATTGTACGTAGCTGTTTCGAAACTTATTCACGATCTACGATGAGATTTCTTAACTTCCTATTTGGATGATCAAGATGGATTATTAGGGGATGATTTATCTAAATACAAGAATATATCTAAATCGGCAAATTGTTGAAAAATAGACGGAATTGATGTGAAGGCGTTATCCGAAAACTAACAGGCTCCTATTTTTCCAGTAACCCGACAATAAAACCTCTATTGATGGCTAAGTGTAATTGCAAAGGTATGTTCGACTAATCGATACGCGAGTGAAAGTGCACGCGCACCATCGGCGATAATAAATATACGGAAACGAGAGCTTTCGAGAGATATCGAGAGCCCCGCTAAACGATTTAACGACAACAACCGGAAAAGTGTGCGTGTGATCCGTGAGAGGAAAAAGAAATGGAGTCTCGCTGTATAGATCGCCGTTACACGGGTGTCGCCCGACGAAAATGTTACGCGACGTCGTTTGGTCGTCCGTGATCGAAGTAGAGTCGATCTTGACTACTTTTCTTCCGTCAAAAACGAAACAAACGTAGGACAGTCAGCAGTGGCGCCGAGAGTATAAAGTATCAACGGAAAGTATACTTACAAAAAAGTAAAGACGTATAACACGCGTGTAGATATGTAATATATGCAGTGTAATATACATCATAATATACATCAAAATATACATCATTTTATATCAAATCATTAATAAGATAATTCTGTCATTAAATAATAAGGTATTACTAATTGAAAATACAACTTGAAAGCTGAAGCCGAAAAAAATTTTTACAAGTAAAAAATTACAAATAAAAATATAAGCTAAAATTCCTCGATAAATTAACTTCAAAGTTTTCGACTTTGTAACATAATAAAAAAAATCTTCCATCCGTTTGAAAGTAATTTTAACGAAAGTGATTTAGCGAAAATTAAAGTCTTAAGAAGTGAAAAAATTTACACGTGATTTACTTTGAACATCTACGTGTCTTGCGAGCTTTTATTCCAAGCTAAATGTATACTGTGTATATATTACATATCGTGTAAACAGTAACAATTCCAACCGAAAAGAAAGGAAGAGGTGTGTCTGGCTGGTGTGCAGGCAGGCATGCTAAGAATTACGTTACCTAGGGTGAGCTTCTCGCCGGAATCGGGCGGCAGGGTGAAGCCCAGTAGGGCCATGCTCGATATCAGCACGCAGGGCACGATCAGGTTGAAAAAGTAGTAGAGGGTTCTCCTGCGTATCTGTATCGTGAACGTGACGTCAACGTACGGCTCCGGGCAGCATTGATATATTAACGTGTTCTTCTTTCCCGGCATACCTGGAAAAAGTGCCAGCACCGATGTACACGCCGACATATCTGTCCAAGGGACTACATATGACATGGATACATTTCAACACGGCGGAGTATAATCGCTTGCCTATCGATTGCACTCCTCGATTACGTTCATCACTTTCTTTTTTTTTCTGTGCTTGCTATTATATTCCGACCCTATTTTTCGTTCTTCTGCCGAGAATATAATAAAGTACTTCCCTATATCACACTACCCCTATATCTCTTTATTATTGCTACCTTTTGTCCTCTTTACTTTTTGTTACTATATATATATATTGTGTCTTGAGGGGACTAAAATCCCAAGTCATAAAGTTGGGTCTATCTATCATCCATCCATCTGTTTTATCGCGAGGCTACGTGAACTCGTTGAGAGAGTCGTAAATGTTGTCAAGTCATGGCAGCACCCAGCAATCTTTCGGTGCGAAAGATTCGTGCGAGTCACGTCGACCTTTCTGTAACAATTTTTCTACCGGTTCTCGCGGCCTTGTTTTGAACTTAGGATTACGACTCGACTCGTAAGGAACAAAAAGATCTTGTAAATTTGCAAATTTCCGCTTCCGTTCCAGTCAATTGCGACGAGTTAAGCTACTGGTAAAACAAAACTTGCCATCCTCGCGAATTTTAAAATTACGATGCACCTATCGATGCGTTTTGTCGAAGATGGTGGAGATGTACTAAAAGCTAAAGGAGACCTTTGACCGTTCTATGTGTTTTTCGTGGATGGAGGATTTCTTAATAGCTTCCGATCGGACGGGCTCTCGAATCGATCTCGAACATCGCGGTATCGGACACTCACTTGTTGCTGGCTCGTACCTCAGAACACTTTTTCTTTGTATTTCGACGCGAAGACCACGCTCGATGCACTTGCCTCGAGATAATTAACGTGTTTCCGAAAATACGACTTTAGAGGCGACACTTAATTACGCGCGTCGATGTGTCGATTGTGTCGACTATCAACACAGAAGAGCATCGAATGTATCATTTTGTCGGTCGGATCGAAGACATCGAGCTGTGTTCATGCGTTTTATTTTTTGACAACGTAATTGAGTACACTTTGTCTCTGTCACTTCCTAAACAGCCGGAGTTTTATTAATTAGCTTCAAATTTTTCTTCCATTTATCTCTTTCACTTTGCATAAAAAAAGATTACTTCATTCACTTCCATTAGATTCATTAACAAAACTATTAACAGAAATATAAATGTATATATCACTCATTTATTACAACGACATAAGTAAAAGAAGTTTTCCAGAAAATAAGTTTGAATATTCTGAATCATTAAAATTTTGTAATTAATTTTATTACAATTACGATTAATTTTAAAATGCAATTTTAGTGTAAATATTACTATTTACTAGATATAGATAGATAAAATATACTTTTTTTAATTATTTCTTTTTCTCTTTGTTTCCACTTTTTTGCAAACAATTAAAAAAAATTTCATTTTTTAATTAATGAAAATTTTTTAATTGTTGTGTCGTTGTCATAGTAAACAAGCAATATGCTTCAATAAATTATTTTAACTAATAAAGCACAATGTTACTTTTTATATTTTCATTTTTTTTTCTCTCTTGCAGTTTCATTTCAGGAGAATGCACTCCTCTTTTAAAGGATCTCTCTCTCTCTCTCTTATGCGAATATCTTTAGGGATTTTTTCAAGATGCTAGACCAAGACTATTATAGATTCTATTTCTCTTTGCAGTTTTGGCGTGTCGACAGTCCCGAATCCGCTTCAAGAAAACCGTCGTACATGAGAATAGCATTTCCGATATGCGAGCTCAAGGAATGTAGCCGTAAAAGAACACAGCCAATAAGTGACGGGTAGGAAAAAGAAGGAATACAGAAAGGAAAGAGCGCTATGCTAAAGTCGCTATAGAAAATCACCGCCATAAAGTCATACGCCATTGCGGCATCACCGAGACATGGAGGCTTCATAAAATCTTTCGATTTCTATTTAGTCGCGACATCGATCGCGATTTCGCGCGAAACGAGGAACTCTAGGATGACATCCGTGAACACGACGGAGAGGAATAAGAGAAGAGAGAAGGAGAGGGGGGAAGTTGCGGTTTCTTAACGGCTTCCATCAGCATTCCTTTACACACCAATGACGCTGTTTCGTATCACCGTGAAATTTGCGTTCCAGAATCCAGTTGAGAAGCTGGAACGAATCAGGGTGAGAGATTTTTGTTTAGCGATATATCCCCTATTCTTTTATAAGCCAGAATTTATCGCAGAAGGTAGCTCTAGAATGAATGTTAGGATGAAGTTTACAAATATTAGGTGTAGTAAAAAGTCATCGCGTTTTTTTAAAAGACATCTATCAGTAAAAACCGCAATTACTTTCTTACCAACAATATAAATATATCTTGATAGAGTAAAGTTTCAGTTTAAAAAATCTCTTTTTTAAATTATACGATACGACAATTTTTAATGGAGTTATGAGCAATTAAAGTTAAAATAATTCTTTTATTTAATCCGCGATAACTCAGTAATCAAAAGTCGTAGGAATATTAAAAAAAAACGATTTTGTAGAGAAAGTATCAAGCTTTCACGATAGGTAATCGAAAATTTTCTCAAATTCGTTTTGGACACGTTACAAATCCACAAAGTGAGAAGAAAATTTTTCGTCTTTTTCAGCTCGTAGTTTTTGGTATGTAAAAATTATCAAACTCATATAAATTTAAAAAATGTGATAAGCTTTTAAAAGTAGAGATTTCAAGCTTTAAAACCCTTTTTTTAAATTTGAATTTCATTCATTATTGACGAAGATATTGTATATACAACTTTGAGCTAAAAAATACGCGATGACTTTTTACTACACCTAATATATACAATTTAAAAAATATTTCGCTGAATAAACAAACAGTAGTATGATTCACAAGATAAGAAAGAGGAAATTATTCAGTTTTTTAAATAGTAATATTTTTTTTTGACAGAGTTGAGATGCCAGAGCAAATGCATTTATATTCGTGAATATTTAATAAACCGACTTCATGAAGACACAGTCATAACTTGAACTGTGTATTCGTATCATTGCTTAATGCGATGCATTCAATATGTGACGCAAAGCCAGTCGGAAGCAGAAAACGAGCTAGTTAAGTTGTAAGTACAAGTCTCGGAAATGAAGAATGGCTTTTAAAAAGTATACGATTCGTGGTCTCATGCCTGCGTTGAACATAACCTGAATTAATAGTTATCTTGTCTGCGTATGTAGTAAAATGATGAGAGCTTATACATTTAGCTGTTGAGATGGCCGCGTAATTACTGCCCGAAAATAGAATCGTTGAATTCCATAATAGCTCCTTGCAATATATTATTGCATTCTATTCGTAATTCCATTCCCATTCCGTACTTTCACAATGTACACGCTGTACAAACAGATTCGCAAATTGCGACGGATTAACGGTAGATGTATATATCATTGTGCATACGTGCCGAGAACAAACGAGGATGAAGTCTGAACGCGAAACGGCCAGAGAGAAAATTTAAATTATGTCAAAGACTTTTTTCTTTTCTTCCATATCTATATTAATTATTTTTTCTTCTCAAAATAATTTTATGGAAGTGCAAATAAAATCAATTATTATGCATACACAGAGAAAAATGTAAAGTAATATGCGCTAGAATTCTAGTAAATTTTATTAGAATCAGCAAGTCCATATATATATAGAAACAGGCGCCTACTTGTGTTAAAATTTGTGTTACTTTTTTTTATGCAATTGTCGTAGAATCATGTAAGATATTTTTTTATATTTTGTAAATTTCGAGAGTTGTTCGTGCTTAGTCTTGAAAATAATATGATTTACATTGTACTTTATTGTAAAATAAATCGAATGGATTTACTATAATTGTAATGTACTTTTTACCTTATCTTCTCCTGCATTTTTATTTTCAGGCAAGTAAAGTTTGTCAAAAGTTCGGCAAAGTATTTAATACAAAAAATAGCCAGAATATTTGTATTAGTCTTGTAAGGTAAAAATTATTCAACCTTTTTTTTTCCATATAGAAGCGAAAATATATACTAAAAAGTATGAGTGTGAATTTAACACCATGAGTATTAAATATCCATGGTGTTAAATTCACATGTTGATGTTTATATCAACACCGTACGGTGAGAATTACAATATCGCAAAGTATAATATTTATTTATATTAATTTTTTGATATAAGTTTAATAATAATGAAAGAGTAGCCTTTTGACTGATATTTCACTGTTAAAACAACGTATCGATCAAATATTGGTTTAGAATTTCATTCCAATCAGCAATTTTTAATGAGAGACAAAGTATCATAAACAATCGTTGATATCTTAAGCGTTGCTCTAATACATATCTGTTTTAAATAATATTAATGAAATAAAATTCTTAAAAATTTTTATTTATCCTTTATATGTATAAAGATACTTTATATTTGAATCAACGTTTTATACTTCCGCATTCACTGTAGAATCCATTCATTGACGCGCATCGAGTCGATTCGAGATTTTATTCTCAGCCTTCTATAGGCACGTTCCTTTACGCACACAAATACAGACACAAATACACGTGCCAATACAGAGGCAAAGTCTGATTGGCCTGACAGGTAAACTTGCTCAATGAAACTCACCGATGAGGTACCATTCCCCGTTCATGATGAAATCGGATAAGTCACCACCCTCCTGTGAGTTGAGTACCAGATCGAGCTACCAAGGTCAAAGTTTGATTAAGACGGGCACGTATCTACATGATAGGGACATTCCGTTAGGTAACTCGAAGCCGAACATACGCATGCAGCTATGAATTCCGCTTGCATCTACGTCTACATCTACTCTACGAAATGATGCATTCGCAAACCGACGTTACATGATAAGGCGTGCAACGGGAGAATCCGCTCGGCCGTGGGACGGTGCGAAGAAGAGACGGTGATTTCTCTCTCGTGAAGCAGCGCACCGTGCGCGCCTGGAAAAGCGCGTTCTTGCGGCCGACAGGCGGAAAACTGGCTCTTTATCGTTGCTGAAAATTGCTTTTCACGTGGTCAAGAAGTTCTCATTTCTGACGAAGCGTTCGCAACTTCCTCGGCTTCGCCACGAATGCGTAGCAATCACATGGCCGCTTTACGTGAAACTTGTATCGTGTGCCGTTGTAAATGTTTAATAAGGTAACATATATATATATGTATATATATATATATATATATGTATATATATTTATATATATATATATGTACCACTTCTGCAAAAGTTGGAGGAACGGAAATTGATTGATTTTAACTTCCGAGGAGCTTCAGGCTATTATATATTTCACGATACAAAATTGTCGAAGATTCAAAATATTTTTGCGATAATTCGATAAGTTCTCTATCCAATAAGTTTAATAAAGGTGTTAATCTAAGAGCTTTGAAAAAAATTAAGTCAATTGTCTCTATTTTTATCGTATCATATATTTTCCTTATGATAAATATTAGCTTTAAGAACAATTTGATTCATGTAGATACGGCGCTTATAATATTACTCCGCACAGATATTTTTGATGTCTGACAAGAGCTGATCAAAAGATTGTACAGTCTGCTACTTGTCTACGCGGATATCGCGCTGCACAATCATACTAAAGTAATTAAAACGAAATCTTGAACAAAAGATTCCTGTCGCTTCCATCTCTTCTCTTATCTACACGAGGAGGATTGGAGGACGGGAAATAAAGTGACGATGTCGGAGATGCCTTGAAAGGATTTTCCAGTCTTTTTTAAGTATCTTTTTCCCGTATCGCTCGCCGGGTATCTGTTGCTCTTTGATCTGGAGCCAAATAGGATATGGTTCGGCTGGTTCCCATGGGCCATCGAAGGCTTCAAAAGAGCCCTTTTCCGATGAATAGAATTACCCTGGGTGATTCAATATTTAATCATTTATAGAAGCATGTTATCGCAGAAAGATCTACGTGAATTATAAATCGAATGGGATAATTTTATGTAAACTCGTAAGTACTTCGATATATTTTCATATACAAGTCTTGCAAACGCCTTTTCGTTCCTTTTCGTTTTTCGCGATACCGGCAAACGTTATTTCTTGAACGAGAGATATTATTCGTAAAGACGTTATTTTCCAATATTCCTGGTCACAATGAAGGTAAAAACGAATTTGATAAGACTTCAATAGTCCTCGATGCACTATTTTCGAGCAGTACGTCTTCTTTTTCTGAGTATATGCAAAGATCCGCTCGTATACTGAGAAAATTGTAAGAAGGTTCTCTTGGGATGTAGCAATCACATTTGCAGTTCGATCGTCACCGTCGATTACGTCGCATTTATTTTCTCGTTCTCGAGAAAATTTCTTATTCGGTCATCGACTTGTCCAATCAAATCGATTCGTTCATCCTCTCGTCATCGTCTTTTCTCGTTCCCGTTCAAATTAATCCTTACCTCAATTATCTCCCGTAATAATGCCCGGAATAATTCCGACGAGCAAACGCCGAAGTTTGCCAGTTATATTTGCTTGTATCGTGAAATTCGTAGCGAAAATTACGACGGATACACCGGGCTCATAAAGTTAGCCCCTCATAATTCATTGCGACACGTATATTTTGCCTTCATAGCCCAGTTCAACCCTTATTCACGAAGCGGCTACATGTGGTTTACTACGCCAACGTGATGCATCGGGAATGGACGTCTCAAGATGTAAATGCACTGGCTGTGGAGCGGCGCCGCGCAGCCCTTTAACTAATTAAATTCAATCTTCATATATAACGCCTCTTATCCGACAGGCTTAATCAAGCCGATGACGTTAAGAAGCGGCCCCCGGAGGGTCGGCTTCTTGTATGTGCATTCGAGTGCCTCGTCTAATAATCATAGCACCTCTCGGGTGATTACATTTGGGAACGAGCCGCTTTTCGCTGTCGACCGCAGATCCCATCTGTAAAATCTAGAATCGTAACCGGTATAATTGTGAGCCAGCTCGATTTTCCGCGTACGGAAAATGTACCTTACAATGTCATGCTTCCATCAATTTGAATAAACGTTGCATGGTGAGTTGCATCCCCCGTATAAATATGTAATACCGAAATACGAACCCATTTAAATTATATCGGTTTCAATTCACACTGCAAATGAAAGCGTGCATGCGAACATTAATCAGTAATCAGTTAGAAATGACGCTTGACGTCATTTCAATTGCAACGTAAACGATAATTAAATGAACGCTCCGGTATCTTTAGAGGTGTTTACGGTGATTACAGACCCGATCTCCGAGAGACCATTCTTTTTATTCGCGAAACTCTCTGAAATATCGACGCTACACGGTCGCTTCAGCGACCGTCAGCTTGGAGAGCTTTCAAGAGTTACTCGCGCATTTCTGAAGATGTGATTTTACGAAATAAGACCACATATCGAAAAAGTATGACGGCAGTGGACTTGATGCAGAGGAAGGATCGTCACGGTCGAAGCACCACCAGTCACGCTCGCGTCTCGCGACATACAATCGCGACTATAACGTTTAAAGCCGATTCAAACAGTGAGCACAATTAATCATGCTCTCCGCTACAGCAAAAAGAGTCACAGTAATATCACAACAAAGTCTTAGAGATTCGCTGACGAGCGAATGATCGCTTTGTCACAGTTGTTTGCGATATCGCTACGATATCGTGCAGCTGTGAGTAAAAGTTACCTCTCACTGGACACTTCCGTGACGTCAAGATAATAATATGATGTCGCTGCGATCTTTTAATATAATCTCACAGTAACATCATAATTTATACATGATTATTGCGAATTCATTATGATGCGAATGTAACTTTATTTGCTACCGGAGGCTTTATCAACGAGTTTACATTCACGAGTTTACACGAACTCACATTCAGGCGTTTACACATGTATACACGTACAAATATACACGCGCATGTTTCCTCTGTGATCGGGAATCGAAACTACGAGCAGCAATTGTTTGGCGAGTTCAATTCTCGATACTTCGGACACGGAGAGTGCATTTTACTCGCGCGAATGATCGCGGAATATGTATTCGGAAATGATTTTTACAATTGGACCGGCACCGTAATCCGAGCTCGCCAAAATTACTCGGGTTTCAATCCCTGTTTTGTAGTTTACCGATGCGCGAACACGTACACACGAACACGTGACATGGGAGAATGGGAATCTGCGTGTTAGCAGGGTGGAGCATCACCTACGCGCCGTCAAGAAAGCATGCAAGCTACGCCGCGCCACGACACGAAACGGCCATTAATTTCTGTACATATATATACACACACACACATGACATGCGACACACACACTGTACAGACATATCAATCAATAACAGTTGATGTTGATTCGTTGAGTGACGGAGGGCGAAATGGATCGAACAAAGTACGGGTGTACGACATATAGACGACGAAAGTCTTCAAGTTTGGCATAAATACAGATATATAATTTATATGTCATATGGGAGGGTGGAGGGGGGGGGCGGGAGAGATGAGGAGAGCAATCTATATCGAGGGCAGGGGGAGGAGGCAAGGAGAGACAACGTTTATATGTGACAGAGTAGTAGAAATGCGCTCGGATTGCATTTCGATGGGGGGGCAGTGCAACCTGCGGCGACGGTGACGGCGATGCAGCGGCGCGTAATCGGGAGGTCGAAAACGGGCTACGCGTTTCGGCACCTATCCCATCCGAGTCACGATGGATTACAGCGATCGTAAATTTCGCGAAACGCGTGCGTGCGTGCGTGCGAAAACGTGTATCGGGTGTCCCCGCCGTTGTCGAGAATTTCAGCCCGATTGGATTGAGTGTTTAATAGCCGCATTTTAATTGATCCCCCGTCCGGCCTTTAACGAGCCCTACAAATACGTTTCCGGAGTTCATTGGAGATTTCTGAAAAAAATCACAGTTGCGTCATTGACGAGAGAAGTGGTCGGCGGTTCCTCGCGACGAAAAAAAAAAAAAAAAAACAAAAAAAGAAAAAAAAAGAGAAGAAAAAGAACCCTCGTTGCATGCAATTGAATTGTTCCGGTCGATAAAGCTCGACTTCCTCGACAAAGCCACAATTTAACGAGCGAGACTTCCGAATGTTTTTCAACATTTTGAATTCACCGAGAAGGACCGGAGTGAACTCGCACGAGAAACATGCAAACGAGCTCGGTATTGATCATCGAATCTCGGGCCGATCGTTCCGCTCGTAAATACTAAATTCGCGATATCGTATTCCATGGGCGCGCGCATATATGCACGCGCACGTGCGTACGCAGTTTGTGCTTTCCGCAGTTCGGGAGAGTCGTTCCTGCGTGATATTGAACGAGGTAAGGGCTAACCAACGTACGGCCTATCGCATCGTTCGATTCCTCGTATAGAGCACGATCGATACGCGGCGCCGCTAAAATATGCAACAGAAGCCTCTTTTCTCATTTCACGCCGACATTTTAGATATCCCGCAAAATAGAGGACGAAGATGAAACGTTATTTCCCCGACGTAAAATTCGTAAATCGCGACCACTACCAATACTTTACGCGTTATCTCGATTTTTTTTTTTTTTTTCAAAGTGCGACGCGAGAGGTGACATCCACGAGATATTTTGCTCGTATAAAATAGCGCGCGACGGCATCATAAAGTCACAAAGGTCACGCGTGTTCGTCGGTCGGTTGGGCGCAAAAATCGCAAAAACCGCCGAAATCGAGTTAAAATCAAAGAAGAGGAGAGAGAGGAGAAGAAAAAAGAAATTCCAT